GGTGGTTAAGCCTAAATTCTGCGTGTGCTTAAGATCAAATTCTGTGTTTTGATGTGCTAATTTTTTTACCCGATTTCTGTGCGATTCGTGATAGAATAGTACTATTTCTGTGATTAAATACGCTTAAATTTTGAAATTAATCCCGAGAATCCCCGCCGACCATGCTCGTAATTTATGTTTATTAACTGTCTACTTCCGAAATTTCCCATTATAAATTGTGATTTCTTGGCTTTTTGTGGTATTATACGATAATTTCCTCATAATTCTGTGCTATTCTGCGGTGATTAAGGTCAATTTCTGTAGTTAGCTGCGTTTAAGAAAAATTCTGCGGTGTTCTGTGAAACACAGAAAATCATCGTCCCTGCCGTGATCATCCGTGATAATTAACCAAAACATTCGTTCAATTTTAATACAAGTAAAAAAAAACAAAACAAAGAAGCTTCATATGAAGAAACTTATAAATTAATAAATATACAAAAGAATTAATTAATTTCATAATAGGTAGATATTCGTAAAGTGAGGTAACAATGGTATTTATTATGAATAAACTCAAAACTTATTATTCAAGTAATAAACCCGGACCTCTTATACTATAAGCTTATTCCTATCAAATTAAAAAGTTAGTCATTTAAGTTTATTTAAATATAACGTATTCAGGTAGTTTTAAACAAAAACGCTTCCGATTACCTTATTCTACAGTATAATTTTGTATGGCCCAATAAAAAGCGAATAAACTTGTTTTTTAAGTGAAGTTCTCCGGGAGTCTGATATTTTTTTTTTGATTCTTTTGCACAGTGAACGTTAGTACTTCGCTGAAGTTATTAATGATATTTGGAGTGATATTTCATTAATGAAACGTTACATTCTTAAAAAGTACTGTAAAACATATAAATTAGTTACCCATGACATTGTTTCGAGATTTTAAAATAGTTAGAAAGGAACTGGAAGCGCGTCGTAGCCACAGTTTGTGAAAGTTACTAGTCAAGTAGTCAGACTTGATGTACTCTTCTTCGAACCCGAAATACAATCCATCATCTAATAAGTCAACACCAATTATTTGACTATATAAAGCTAAGCACAATAAAATAGAACCAAGAGCATAAATCATCATGATCATAATGCAATACGCAACATATGATTTAAAGCCTTGCTTGCTAATTGCAACCACTTATTCTTTCTTTTTTTACTTCATGAACTTCAATATTTAACAAGGCCTCCAAGACGTCAATACGTTTTTTTAATTCTTCATGTTCGTTAATAAAGCAGTTTTTTGGATATTTTCTAATTTTTGAACTTCAAGTAATTTTTTGAGCTTTTTGATTCTTTTGTGTGGCTTACTTCTTTCTAACTAAGAGCTTGTGTGGAAATGTTAACGGGTCATAAGGCACGGTGAACAGTAAATTCCACTCTGTCTTAAAGAAGAAAAAAGCAATAAAAACTAGGTGTGTAATTTAAACCCTTATAAATAGGGTCTGCTAACTCTAGAGGTGGATTGGCTATAACTCAATAATAACAGAAAGTTTGCTGATCTACGTGATTATCTAGAAATTTAATTATACCGATACGTTTGTTATATAGATCTTGTGATTGCCGATTACTATGATAAAGTAATTTTTTAAGGGTAATTCTATTTCATATTACGTTTTACTTAGCAAAAGTTAAAAATAAGAAATTCAAAAATTGTGAAGCACGAAGTTGGTTAATTTCGTTAGTTAGAAAGGTGAAAAATGAAAAAAAA